AACAGGTCCATATATAGATAACATTATTATTAACAAACATAATTATTGATTTATTTAAATTAATATTATTTTACAAGAAAGAAGGAGAATTGAGGAAAAATTCAAGTAAAATTACAAATATAGCAGCACTTTTAATTTTATTAAAGTCTTTAATAATAATAATAATTAAAATCGGCAGCGAATTCTATATATATATATTTATATACAAACAAATAATAATATTGAATTTTAATTATATAAGGAAAATAATAATTTCCTATAAAAATACTTAATAATTATATTTATATAACATGAAACTGTAATATTGTCATTTATTTATTTTTTCCTATACTAAACTACTATTTATATATGATTATATAGCTTTAAAGAACTAATAACACTTTTAATATTCTATTATTTAGAAATATAAAATATGCACTTAAAGTAATTATAACACTTTTGAAACTTTTATATTGCATAAAAATAATAAATAATAATTAAATAAAATAATATAGACATTTAATTCACACTCTTCACTTAATAATTGAAAATTGAGTAAAAAGTGTATAGGAAGTATGTCGGTATATCATAAATACAAAAATTCACATATTTTCTCAGACTTATTATAGACTTATAATTTTGAATTGGGAAAGTTGGCATCTCTTTGTGCATTTTAATTTCAATGAAATGTTAAAAAATTTACAACTGAAATTTAAAAAAATTTAACACAAATCAAATTTAGTACAATTTTAAACTCATAAATTTTAAATTCAATTTAAAATTGCCTATTATTTTAAATTATACTTGCATGTATAATTTAGAAATTATTACTATTTGTTTTGAATTATAAAAATTCTCATATTTTACTTGTTGCGTTGTGGTACTTATAGCGTATATTAATAGCACATTTTGTTTTAAATGGTGCTCATACTTAAAGGCATTCTTCTTTTTTTTTTTAAATTTGAATCACTTGTTGCATTTGAATTGTTTTTTTGAAAAATATTTTAGTTACTTCTTTTCTCTGGGTTTTAGTTATTAAATACACGTATTCATGTCGTATTCGTATGAAGTTTTCTTTTACAAAAATTGTAAAAATTCAAAAATAAATAATCATTTTTTTTGTGAATAAGTGTTATTTTGGGAATTGTTTCCACTTGTTATTGATTGGTTTATTATGTATGGCGAATTCGCGAGCTTTCCAATTTTTTTGAACTGGAGATGGTATTTGGAAACTGGATTAATTCGCCAAATCATTTTATCAATGACAGCATTGAAGCAATATTGGCAGTATTTTAAGGTAAACTATCATAACAAAATATTTTATACTCTTGACAAATTGGCATACCTATACTTCTTAGATTTTCTGTCAAATTTACAAAGTAATCTGACGCTTTCACCTCACATAATATAAAATTGTCATTTTGGCTTTAACAGATTGAATTTTCAATTATCTTAACGTTTAATTAAATTTTAATAAAAGAAAATAATAAACATATTTCAAAACAGGTGATACAAGAATCTTAAAATAATTTTTAAACCTATGACAAAATCCAAATTAGCTGAGGTAAAAATTTCTTAATTAAATTTAAAAACTTTATTCATATTCAATTACAATAAAATTCCCAAAACAGTAAAAGGGAATTTTTTTTTTGTTAATAAGAGCAAGTGTACACAACCTCGTTTAACGTTTCTTTTACAAATTTGGGTGTTTCCTATAACTACGGAAGCTGTTTTTGTTTTGACAATATTTGCTGTTTTTTGATCAATTGTTATATTTAGCATTAGAATCAATTGATTTCCTTTTTCAAAATTTATTTATACTTCAATATAATTTTCAATCACCTAGTTCAATATAACAATGGTAGTTCTTAACAACTCATGGCATATATACTCAGAACTATACTATCCGATAAAACTGAAATAGTAATGGGAATGAAAAGGCTTATTTGCAGAAAAAGTCAAATGTAGAAAATGGCAAAACGGAAAAGACAAATAATATTATCAAAGTAAAATGGAACTTTTTCAGAACTACAAACTAAAATGCTTTTTGCAGCACAAACACATCCTTAATAATATTGGTGCTCATAAGAACCCGAGAAATCTTTATCAAGAAGTTTTTTTATATAATTGTTAATAAATTACACTTTTGATAGTGAATACAATTTAACTTATAGCAATGAAATTGAAAAATTTCAGAAATAAAGTAATTAATTTATTTGATTGAATGAAGTACGTAAATGACATCTGACTTTACTAAAAAGGTAGGTAATTAAGAAAAATTTTTATAAAATTTTCACGACATGTTCTACACACACATTGTATTTACATACGACTACTTATATAGTATTTATACTATATGTATATTTTGTGCATACTCGTTTATACAAATATGCATTTGATTGATGAAAAGTTTTTGAAGGCAAACTTATGCATAATTTGTTTTTTTTTTAAACAAATGTAGGTACCTTGTTTTTCTTGTTCTTGTTGTTGTTATTCTTTTATAATTTTTTTTTTTGCATTCGATTCTCGAATTGAAGTGGGCATTGAAATTTATTCTCAATATTTTTTTTTTCGTAATGGTTGGTTATTTCAAGACTTTCTGTATAACGTAATATACCTTTATATATGTATGTACGTATGTATGTTATGAAGGTACCATGTAGATGGAAAAACCCATTTAAAGTTATAAAATAATAAAAAAAAACGAAAAAAGAAACTAATTATGAGTGCATGTATGTATATATATTGGTACATAATGTGTATGTCCACATATTTTGTATGTATGTATGTACGTATATTATGTTTGTGTACTTTATAAAACATACTGAATACATGAATATACTGAATACCTAAATAAATATATTTATATTTTTAATATATAAAATTTCAAATATAATGAAAAAAAAAACAAGTCATCAACAACTTTCGATTTAATTATAACTGGTTTTTCATTTTGGTTTCTTTAAATAAAATATTATAGCTTTTTTTTTATTATATTTTATATAAAAAAAAAAGAAATAAATAAAAATAATCAAAAAAAAATTTTATTTCCATCTTTTCGATTATGTAATTTAAAAGCAGAGTATATCTTTTTTCCATTTAAGTATATTATGTGTGTCCGTATGTAGATTATGCATACATACATGTATACAAAAACATTATTGAATATCTACTGAAATAAATCTGAATTTTAAAAAGTTAAAGACAAAAATAGTGATTTGAAATACATATTTTAAAAAATGATGCGATTTAAATATTTTCAATTATAATTTTTGATTTACGAAATCAAATCGTATAAAAATTGGCATAATAGAAAAAATAGCTTATAAATTTGCATATGTTTTCATAATCATTGCTCTATTATGGATTCACAATTGTGGAATAAAGATGCCTTTTACTAATTGGAATGAGAATAATTTGACAATTAAAAATTGTTTAAAATATCCATTATTTATGTACAATGTAAAAAATGAATTTGAATTTAATATTAAAACTTAAATTTATAATAAATATTATATGAGTAGCTCGTAATAATAATCGTTATTCGCAATAGCAGGAAAAGTTTGCTATCGGAGACTTCGTATGCAAAAGTAATCAACAAGAGAATGCGCATATAATTGCAAATTTCAAAAAGTACAAAAAAAATTAGGTTACTGAAAAAATATTTCAACTAAAGAGTCTTCAAATAAAATGTACAATAAAACGGTAGCGCAGGGTCTAGAATACGCGTAATAAAATTGAAAAATGAAACATTAATATCTCAAATATGAATATAAATGCAATTTGAAAATATTGAATTTCGAACCGGATCCAAAATATGACTAAATCCAAAAAATTAGAAAAGATATTTTAATAAAGTCAACAATTTTAATGTATTTATGATAAATTTAAGCAGCGTCGAATTTGAGTCAAATTTAATTGGAAATTGATGTTGCGAAAATTTAAATGTAATTTTTCATACAAAATATTGAATTAGTCTTAAATGTGGGGAACTAATAAGACTGGTTCTAATGTTAACTAAACTTATTCGGCAATATCAATTTTAATTGTTGAGGAAATTAAATTGACATAAGGTTTGCATTATATTCAAATGTATTGAAGTTTGGTTCCGTTAATAAAAAATATTTTTTATTGTGTATATATATATTTATTTGCTTTAAATTATTACGCATATATTCATTATTCTAGTATGCATTTTAATGCAATTTTATTCAAAGAGATAATTGAAAAGCCAAAAACAGATAAAAGAAAAGTCAGATGACATTAGAATTTGACATTCTTTTCTGCACGTATTTAAGCTGATTGCAAACTGAAATCCTGTTCATTGTTTAATTTTCGTAAGAAACCAGTTTAATGGTTATTGAATAATTTAATAAATAAATTTAATTAGTTATCCATAATGTATGATCGAAATTGAAAATTAAATTTCGTAATCACGTTATTTTACATAAATGATTAAATTTATTTAATGTATAAAATAAAATAAACATAATAGTTGTTTTAATATATAAACGAAATAATATTGATATCGTATAATGATTATAAAACTGTTATATTATAATGATAACTGTGAAATTATCATAAATAAAATGTTGACATATATTTTGTAAAAAAAATTTACGAATAAAATCCAAAATTTGTTGCACAATTTTATAGTCTTTATTAATTTTTATATTTCTTTTTTTTTCTCAATTTCATTTGATCACTTTTTTTCCTGAGTATATTAGGAAATTATACAATTATTAAACGATACGAAATTCCTTTTTGATTTTACATAAGATAAATACGACGGTGTCGATATTATGCATTAGTATAACAGATATAAGCATGTTTATAATAATATAGTTTATTTGCATAAGATGTATAAATATATATGTATGTTATTTATACACTCAGAGAAAAATAATGAATTTTATTTAAAAAATTTTTATGAATAAACTTTTTCTTCATTTCTGTCATAAAAAAAAATTAATAAATTAATTTAATAAAAAAAAAAAACAAAAAAAAATTACAACACTCACCCGTCGATGTTAAAGCAATCGCTAAAATGGCAAAAACTATTAAATTTTTTGCCATTATGTGTTTTTTATTTTTATTTTATTAATATTTATTGGAAAAAAATCGGCTACGTTTACAATAAAATAAAAAAAAAATGAAACTTAAAAAAAAGTTAGCACAAATTCGAGAATTCGAGACAACACCGTCCACAAGTCGCGCTTGTATTTTTAAGTATATTTATTTTTTTTTTTAATATATTTTTTTTTTAAATATTTAAATTAAATATTTTTTATTTTAAATATATATAAAATTTTTTTTAATCCATATGAGTTTCTCGGATGAGAAGCGTTCACTGAATGAGCTTTAATCGATGTTAATTTCTTTTGTTAAGTTCCAAAAAATTTAAAATAATTTTTTCTCAATTTACGAATATCACAAGAAAAAGAAATACAAGAAAAATAATTAAAATATAAAAAAAAAAAATTTATAGTTTTTTTTTTTTTTTAAATATTTTATTATGTATATGTGTATAAGTGCATATATAATATTATTTATGTATTTGTTGATCGAAAAGCGCAATAATAAATGAATAAAAATAAAAAACAAAAACGATAATAATACCCCACACACAAAACACGTCGTCGTCGGTTTTTTTCAAACCGACTTTCAATGAACGTAAGAGAGAGCATCAGGATTTAGCGCTTTTATATCAACTTTGTTAATAACATGAAGTGGGGATTTAATTATACAACATACAGAGGGGAGTTTTTTATAAAAATTATAAAAAAAAGTTTTTTTTTCGTTATTATAGTACTGCTTTTTTTTATATATTTATGAAAAATAAAAAACAATTTTTTTTTTCTTTCTTCATTAATCAACTATACAAATGCACATATAATTTTTATTTACAGTTTAAAATTATAAATCTAAAATAACGGGGAGCATAATAATAAAGAGTATTAAAATTTTTGTATAATATAAATACGAAAGAAATAATGTACGTATAAATAGATATATGTATGTACAAATACATCAAGGGACAAGAAGAGTTTTGAAGAAGACAAGATAAAAAACTAACCATGATTTGATCATTACTTTCATTATGGCTATAGATTTACTCTTCTTCTTCTCCAACACTATTTATAAAAATGAAAAAAAAAATAATAAGAATAAATTGGTTAATGGCCATTCAAACTACCTTTAAAATATTAAGAAATAAATAAATTCAACATAATATAATCAATATTCACCACACTTTAAATATTAATTTTGGAAATATAATTTTACATAGTTATTTTATATATTGGTAATTTGTTTTTCTTTTATTTTCTCATTTTTCTGAAAATATAAATTTTTTACAAATGTATAACACAGTATGGTGAATAAGGTGATTATTAAAGTATAACATACATTTTATTTCCCCAGTTTAAGTTACCTGGTTGTATAACATGTAAAAAAAATTAATATGTATGTATGTACTGATGTATGTGTGTATGTAAGTATTATCCACGCTTTGAATTATAACTACTTGATGTATATTGCATTTGCCTTTTTCTCTTCGTTTCTTTAATTTCAATAATACCTATTTATAGTTGAACTATAAACATAATCATCACTTACATATAATTTGATTGTTGTTTGTAGAATATTAATTTTATTTAAACAAAATACGGTAAAAAAAAAAAACACAACGGTAATAAAAAGTTAAATGCATGTGTGTATAGATGCCACATACATTCATACATACCTATAAAACAAAAATATAATTTATGCAAATTTTTTAAGAAAATTATCAATTAATTAAAATTAATAAAATAAGAAATATAAATAATATGTATATCAATAAGTGTAAAGTATACATATTTCCATGCTATTACCTAAGCAGTTTCTATTTTAGTTTTCGAGTCATTATAACGGTTTTGTGTTTAGGTGAAGGTGTTCTAAATGATTATACCATTTAAAAATTGTTTTGACGATCTTATTTAATTCAGTCGTATGCGAATGTTTCAAAAAATAAAATTTAAAAAGGAAAGTTTTGTTTTCTTATTCGGTACGCTATTTCTATATACTGGTACACTGAAACATACTAGGACGGATAATAGATAAAGGACGGAAATTGGTCCAAAAATACATTTATAGTGTCGAAAATATAATGTCGAAAATTAATTAGTTTTATAGAATTTTTTCAATTTATCATGATCTTCGTTTCTAAGCAGGCTGTGACTGATACTTTATTTAAAATTTAACTGCTAAATCTAAAAATTCGAATCCAAGCTTACTAATCTCACATATAGCATCTCATTAACATAATAAACTGAAATTAAGGCTTGTGTAAGAAGACGAATGTTACTAATTTGAGGGCTAAATAATATTATAATGAAATTTTTATTGAAAAAGGAAAACAGAAATCTTAGAGCGGCATTATAAACGAATAGAATAAGAGTGTACAAAACTTAAAGATTTGTTAAGGTCAATTAGATTTTGAACATTTTTATTAAGGCTTGAAGCTTTAAATATTAACATTAAATTTTTTTATTAAAATATAGATAAGATAATAAGAGAGTGACTTTGAAAAAGATCGCAAAATATTAAACTTGCGCTTATAGATGTTAATTTAACTGTACTGTTTCTTCTTCTATTTTAACAATAGCTAAAATTGAATTTTTGACATTTTGAATTTCATTTAGTTTTTTTTTTCATAATTATAAATAAATATCGATTTTAATTTTATTTATTTATTTTTATTGAATTTATTATTTAACATGATGAAGCATGAGTTTATGAAAATTAAAATTTTTATATAAGAGAAAAAAATTTTTTTTTTTTTTTTTGAGAAATTTTTGCATTTAATATGTAAATTTTTATAATAAAAATTTTGAAGTTGACCTTGAAATTTGTTGCAATTTTTCTTTATTTAATACCGTGGTGAATATTATTTAGAAAAAAAAAAATCATTGTATATTTTAAATTTTAATTTGAGGACATTTTTTTAATTTTATTTTATTATTAATTTTTGATTATTTTCTTTTACATTTCCAATTATAATGTCGATAGGTTAATCACCGCGGAATTTTGAAAATTAAAAATTTTTTTTTAACCGGATCTAACCTCATTTTTTAAACTAATTAATTTAACAAATTTTTGTTTTAATTAATACATTATGTAATATTTGCATTTAAAATTTCAATTATATAAGAATATTATGCTAAAAATTGCTGTGTATGTTTATATATTATGTAATAGCTTGTAACAGTGAGGAAAACAAACGGACATTTTTTTATTATTTTCAGCAACAATACAGAAGACTTAGTCCTAAAATATTTTCTTAAAACTAAACGCACAGTTAAAAGCAGTAATAACTGAAATTATACATTTTTTAATATTATGCAGTAATAGTTAAATGTATAAGTAGGAAATTTTATTAGTTTTTTATAATTATCGATTTTTAATTTCTGTTTATTGGTCTCTTAATTTTGTTTAGTTGGTAGTTTCAATTTCAATTGATTCAATTTAAATTCGATTTCAATTCATTTTCAATTCAATGTAAATTCGATTTCAATTTTATATTAATTCAATTCAGTTCGACTCATATTATCGCTTGTTCCCTTATCACCATTGTTGTCGATGGTATCATACCAATTTATCATTTACAAAAATTAAGTTTCTAATGTAATTTATTATAATTTTGAAAATTTTTTGAGCCTACATGTTAAATAAAATTTCTTTGCAATACAAATTTTTGTTCTCTTCTTTACTTATTGGGTATTTATTGAAATTTGTATTGCTTACAAAATCATAAGTAATTTCGTATTTTCCTTCAAATTTTCAATTATAGAAATGTTTTTAATTAAAATAAGGTGCGCTAAAATTGTAGTCAATTAGGGCGGTACCTACATATATGTTTCAAAATTATTAACAAAATATTGTTAATAATTTTGACAGATTTCATAAAGCTGTGCAATAAAGTAATAAAATTTTTGTCTGCAATAATTATAATATTATGACATCGTACTGAAACATATAAAACAAGTTGAGAGTTTTGGCTCTTTAATTGACAATAGTTTATTGAATAAATATGGTGTATTTAAAATTATCTATTAAAGAGATTGAGTATTAAATTATCTACGTAAGGACAAGAGTAGAAGTGTAAAGAGATCTGACATCTATATCGTAAAAATATTTGTAAATACGAGTATTTCTGACAGAAAGTAATTTTCTGATAAATTGATGCTTTTTTTATATTATATTCTATATATTTAATATAATTTAATTATCATAATTAATTTTCTTCAAGGTATATTCACTCTGTATATGTATGTTGAAATAAATTATATTTATACAAAAGGAAACTTGTTAAAATTAATATAAAAAAGAAGTCTTTACTCTTAGAATTTCAATAAATAATTTCTTCTACTAAATTTTAAAAATATGAATTTATAAATTTTTTTCGATAATTTCAATATCGAGCTTCTATATCTCGAATATAGATTATATATAAAAAATTGAAAGTGAAAAAACAGGTAATTCAACTTACTCCTCATCGAATATCAATTTATGACCCACTAAAATATTGTATAATAAATTAATAAAATATATCAAACAAAAGATTGTAATATTTTAATTAAATTCGTATAGGACGGCTTCTGATTTAATTTTGTGAAATAAACGTAAATTGAAAATTTATCAAATCAGAAATAGTCGATCAAATTTGAAAGCTATAAAATACACTAAAAAATTATGGCATAAAAATTGTTAAAATTCGGCAGTTATACCGCTTTTTAAAATATAAAATGGGAAAAGGTGAAAGTCCCAAACAAGATTTAATTATTTAAAGTTCACTCTATGTTCGATCATGTTTACTTTATAAATTATTTTATGTGAAATAACATTAGAATCAAGTATGAGATGGATGAGGTATTTTACGTTCAACAAACATCTTCTTCTAGATATCTCAACATGAATTTATTTCTAAAATTAGACAAGAACTATCGCATATTGTCACTTTCTAAAAATTGGTTAACTGTAAAAAAAATTGTTTCTATGGCAAAAAAAAACAAATTGGAAATATGTTGTTAATTTCTTATGAATTTTGAATTATAGAATTGCTGTAACTTTATTTAGTTGCTGTTATAACTTTATTTAGTTTATTTTTTAGCAATTTTAATTGTTTTTTTTTTTTTTTGGAAGGGCTACATTAAGGCGCAATTATTCGAGACTGAGAACTTAAAACCAGCTTTATTTTTCTTGTTCGTCTGACTTTATTCTGTTACTCTTCTTTGGGCCCGCATATGTCTTGTATTTATAGTATGCTATATCAAATATAGAGTTCAACCCTGTTATTAAAAACATAAAAATAATTTTAAATTTTTATTTTAATTTATTGTATTTATCAAGTAATGCTTAAATGAACACACCGACTTATTGTTCTTGTCACATCATAGACGAAGAGTTTTTCTAAATTCATGATTATAATTTTAAATATAAATATTCATCAATGTATATAAAAGAACAAAAAAAAACACATGTATTTATAATCTATTTAAGCTAGTTTCTTTTGTTTCTCTAATATTTTTTTTATGGTGCCAATTTTTGAGGTGTGACTTACTAGTGATTGACTAGTTTTGTCTTTGATATTTTTTTTTGTTAA